CTGCATTTCCCCTCATTCTCTTTGCTGGTTCGTGTGAGGTTCCACTCCTTCCTCCGTCCTCCTCTCTCAGGACTACATCTCCCAGCAGGCTGTGCTCTGACAGCTCTCGGATTTAAATAGGATTCTGGGCTAGGCTTAGAGCCAGGCTGTTGCTGAGAGCTCTGAGAGGAGCAAGAAGAGGGAGAAGCAGCCAGAAGCAGACAAGAGTTGGAGGCAGACCAGGAGCCCGAACCCGAGTTAGAGTCGAAGGTGTTTTTGCTAAGGAGCAGAAACTAAAGAAGTTGAAAAGATGATGGTTATCTTGGGACTGCTCACCTCCTTCCTTTCCTTCCTGTATGTGATAGCTCCATCCATCAGGTTTGTCTTAATTTCAGTGACTCATACAGTATTTTACAAATCCCTAAATTGGGAGCCATGGAACTCGTAAGTAGATGAATTCTCTCTCGGCTGCTGAAAGAAGAGGAAGGGATAGAGGTTAAGGGAGAGAAAGCCAGGGCAGAAGAAACAGAAAGGAAAGAGGTAATTATGGAAGCCATGAAGGAAAGTAAGAAGGAAGCACCTGGGCTGGGAGTAGAGGGGCTGATTTGAATGCTGATGCTAGTGGAAGGCTGAGTTGAGTGGATGAGTGTTAAGTTGCTTGACAGACAACTCAGGGGAAAGTCCTTCTCTTTCACTCTGTTCCCCTGGGTTCCTTGGAAGGTCTTCCTTTCTTCATTGTTTCTAGTTAAGGTGGCCCTGCTGGGTTACTATGGGTGGTCATTGCTGAGGGACTCATTAAGTACCAGGCATTTGGAAAAGGAAACAAACCCTCTTTCCTCAACTAAGGATGTTTTGGGATGGCTCTTTTGCTGTGGGATTTCTGGAAGTGTCAAAGAAACGTGTGTCTGAGTAGAGAATTTTCAAATTGCTGATGATAAAGAAGGTTACATGGACATATGAGGGACAGAGTGTTGCTCTGGGTCCTGGCATAGAAACCTGGGTTCACCTTACAGTTTTGCCACTATTAACAAGTGACTTGAACTTCTTTGAGCCTCATTCCCCCCCCACCACCACTGTAATATGGGGGTAATAAGAGAGCGGTTGAGAGGATTAAAATAAATTCCCTCCGGAAAGTGCCGGACAGTTAAATGGTGCTCAGAAAATCATCTGTCCCCACCTCTCATCCTCTTTTTGGAACTTGTCAAGTTAACTTTATGTAAAAAGATGCTCTCTGCACAGAGGTCTGAAAAGAGAGGGTTTCTCAGTGTGCTGATAGCTAGAATGGAATCTCTGAAGATGGCAAAAAAAACCCCCACAAACATGTGAAGATGCTGGCTCTCGAAAACTGGAGAGGGAGCCCAAGAGCCACATTTGTATGTGGGACCCTCTGAGGTGCCATGCCTCAGCTATTCACTGTTGGTGCTTATTGAAGACCGAGGGCTCAGCACCAGCGAATCCTTTAATGCTCTTTGCATGTTTTAATGCAGGTTAGAGGAGGCAGCTGACCTCCAGGAACCTCTAGAGATAAGAGCTTTGTTATCTTTATCTAATAAGGAAGGTCTCCCTGGGCTCCAGCTCAAGAGCACTTCCACTGTTTGCCTAGATGGCCATTTGTAGCCTCTGGACACATGACCTTCCGACCTGAGCTGACGATCAGGAGACCCCCTCCCTCACTGGGAACATGTCCCCTGGAGATTAGCATGTTCAGGTCTCCCGATGACAACTGTAAGAAATTCTTCTTTGAGGCTGGACGGATGTTACGTATCTCAGTCTGGGGTTGGGAAGGATGGCGCATGAGTGCTTTTGCTTCCCTTGCCTATAGGAAGTTCTTCGCTGGTGGGGTTTGTAGAACAGACGTGCAGCTTCCTGGGAAGATAGTGGTGATCACTGGCGCCAACACTGGCATCGGCAAGGAGACGGCCAGAGAGCTCGCTCGCAGAGGCAAGTCCCTCCACTTCCATGTCCAAAGGGCAGCACCTCCTGCCTTTCTCACCTGGGCTCTGCCCACATTTCCTCGTCTTTTCTCCTGGGCTTGGAGGCTCTGGTCAGGAATTCAAGGAACATGGGATTCAGGCCCAGCTGTGACGGCAACTCACTCTGTGGCCTTAAACAAACTTCCCTTCCTCCCTGCTCCGTTACTGTTTGTCTTATATAAAGTAAGACAAACAATGATGTCCATGTACAGTGTTGGTCAAGTCTCTTATTCTAAAAGGAGATTCTAAGCAACATTAAATATCAGAGTGTAAAAACCTGGGTTCCCAGCCGGAGTTAAGCTAGTAGCAAGGAGAATGAGCAGGGCTGCAGTGAGAATCCTGAAGAGTGGCAATACAACACTCACTGCTCTAGGGGTGGCTGGAGAACGCTCTGTATACCAGTCCCAAGCTCACTTACTATACTCTTTCTCAGCCTACGGTCTGAACACATTGCCCTCTTTTTTTGCCCCAGGAGCCCGAGTATACATTGCCTGCCGAGATGTGCTCAAGGGGGAGTCTGCTGCCAGTGAAATCCGAGCTGATACAAAGAACTCCCAGGTGCTGGTGTGGAAACTGGACCTATCGGATACCAAATCCATCAGAGCCTTTGCTGAGGGCTTTCTGGCAGGTAAGGCCCTGGTGGGTAGCCAGAAAAGCAAGAAGCTGGGTGTGGGAGGGGTTGCCCCACCCAGACCTGTCTCTGACCCTTACATCAGAACCATCATGGATTCCACTGGACGGGTTCTGCCACATGAACCAGCAGGGCAGGGAATTGGCAAGGGGATGGCGGGTGGACCAGCTGGGCAGGATCCTTATCATCCTTTTGCCTTTGCAATGGGAATGTTGGAGGTATCAGCTCCCTGTCTGGGCTTGTACCTTGGCATTAAGGCGTGGCCCTGATGCCACTCTCTTCTTTCATTCTGAGAAGCAACCTTCTGTGGCCACAGGCACCAAATGAGGTTGTGTTGCTGCCAAAATTCTTGTGTATCTTGGAAAATATCCAGCTTTTACTAATGACTATGAAATCCATGAGGTTTAGGGGCCATGCCTGTCCTGTTTTACCACTGTATGCCCAGCAGAGTGGGCCTGGCCCAGAGTCAGTACTCAGTACATATTTGCTGAATGGATGGATGAATGAATGAATGAATGAATGGTGTCCAGGAAGATATCAATTACTAAAGTTAGAAACCCAAATAACAGTGGTTACTGAATATCACTAAGATAGGTCCAAAGGCAAGAAGTAAATACTCAGGACTGTGCTGGGCAGCTAGCAAACTTCTTGCTAACTACAGGGTCTCCTTGGTTGTGTTACAGAGGAAAAGCAGCTCCATATTCTGATCAACAATGCAGGAGTGATGATGTGTCCATATTCCAAGACAGCTGATGGCTTTGAAACCCACCTGGGAGTCAACCACCTGGGTAAGTATTTCTGAGTGACTGAAAAGCAAGGCTGACCCCATCTTGTTCTCTGTGGGTGTAGATGACCGTACACTAGTCCTGAGAATCTCCAGTGCTCCTACTGGAGGCCAGGGTTCCAATAGGCTGGACATACTGGATTTTTGTCCACTCTCCCTCTCCTGACTAGTCCAAAAAAGTGAGGTCCTCCTACACATACCATTAAAAAACCCCAATTATCAGAGGGAAAGGAGGGTGGGGGGAGGTAGGAAAGGGTATGAGGGGATAAATGATGATGGAAGGAAACTTGACTTGTTGTGTTGAACACACAATACAATAACAGATGATGTATTATAGAATTGTATACCTGAAACCTATATAATTTTATTAACCAATGTCACCCAATCTATAATAATAAAAGCGTAATATGCTAATTAGACCAGACGTCCTTCCTTCCTTCCGGACAAAGCCGCAGTGGGCAGGGGGTGAGGGGTGAGGGGTGGGAACCCACGGCAGAGACCCTGCAGCCAGCAGAGGCCCTGTGGCCTCAGTGGCGGCAGGCGGGGGGCCAGGGCCAAGGCCCTTGCATGAATTTCGTGCATCAGGCCTCTAGTAAATTCAATAATAAAGTAAAAAAAAAAAGAAAAAAGAAACCCCATAACTTTGAAGAAACCAGGAAGAAAAATGCCATTCTTGGATGAGGCTGTGGTAGCATGAGGCTTGCCAGGCAGGGCCAGGCATGGGGGCTGCAGGAGCTTATGTTTGGCTGGAGGGAGTCACATCTATAACTGAGGGCTCAGAAAGCCAAGGGTTGGTCGATGGAGGAGGCAAACCTTGAAGACTTGAGGTATGAGAGAGGCTGGGGTTCAGAGTTCAAGGTGAGGCTCTAGAGAGGAGACCATGGAATATGTTCTCTGATCCTAGACAAACGTAATTTTCCCTAACTCTTCCACTCTTCCCTCTGTACACGGGTGTACCTGGACCCACAGTTGTGTGATCATGGCCATAGTGGGGTCAGAAGCCAGCAGGTAGCCTTTCTCCTAACTGGGGCAAGGGCAGAGGTTCAAACAAGTACAGATTAAGTCTATATTGCCTCACCTATAGTCTAGCTCTGGCCCTTGCCTTAAAGAATTCACTAACTCAGACTGCCTGACCATTAGCACTGAGTTACATAAAAATTTGTTCGCACCCAGAAGATAGGGAGCTAATGCTGAAGTCCTGTCCTCAGCTCCCACATCCTGAGCCTTGGCAGCCACTCCACTC